CAACTAGCCCCATTGATTATGAGTGGGGTATAAGTGACCCATATATGGGTTTGGAAGTTTGTAGATGAGTTTGGGTAGGGTATGGATATTTACTTCCACAAACTAATGTGTATGAGTTGGGTATGGATACCCATTTATTCGAGTGTGGTTTAATTATACATCCAAAAATTAGAATACATAAAAATTTTAGGACTAAAATGTAATGTTCCATCAATATTTTGAGGACTTATATTGCAAAAAAAAAAGGCTATAAATCTAAAGATCTATTAAGTTTAGGCACCAAACTATAATTTGCATAGTTGAGGCTTGATTCCTTTTATGGTGATGTATTTAAAATGATGATTATTTACTTTTCTATAGAAAAATGAAAACTATTTATTTGATGTGTAGATACCTAGCCAAACATTTCATGTATAATTGTTGAAAATTATAGCCCGGGTGAAGAAAAAAAAACTCTAGAGAGAAGCAAAAGGAATACGAGCTGTAACTCGCTTAAAATTTCACGCCTTCAAATCCCATAGTGAAAAATGACGACTTTCTAATAAGTAATAACTATATATATTTGTTTTTAATTGAACTCGACATTTAGCTGAAAAGGTTAGTGGTTCATGATTCAAATTTTTTATAATGGTGATAAACTTTTATTACCAAACAAAACAGAGTTGTATAAACGTAAGAGATCACACTTGATAATGGTTCGATTATTAAATATCTAGACTGTTGGTGAGTCGTGTATGGACCCGTTCATACTTGTGATTAGAATACATAAAAATAGTATAGTAATTAGGACTATTTTTAATGTTTCGCGTAATGAGCAAACATAAAATGGCCAAATCTTATCCTACAGTTTAGTGATATAACATCTTGTATGGTACAAACTAAATTTATAATTTTATGTTATGGTGGATTGGATTCATGGATTGGTTCAAAAAGATTGGTGGATTGGATGCATGGATTCAAGTGAAATCTAAACATTGGACCAATATGTAAATTTGAAAAATTGTAGCTAGCTGTGATCACAATTCACAGACACAGATGGTATGTGTCACATAGCTGAGTCATTTTATAAAAAGTTGTTGGGGCAGAAGGATATTGAGGTGGAGGCAATTACTGTTGAGGAGATTCAAAGTCTTCTTCAATTCAGAGTAGATGAGGCTCAACAAGCATAATTAGTTCGTCATGTCACTGAGGAAGAAATCAAAGCTACTCTGTTTGGATTCAAAGGGGATAAAAGTTCGAGACCTGATGGTTTTCTAGCTTGCTTCTTTCAAACATCATGACATATAATTGGTTCTGAAATTACTTATGCAGTGCAACATTGTCTTTTAGTCTGCTCTCTACCTGAAGGTACTAATTCTACACTTTTATCATTGATACCTAAGGTTCAAAACCATGAAGAGATGAAGCTATTTAGGCCAATTTCATGTTGTACTACACTTTATAAGTGTGTTGCAAAGATCCTAGCAACTAGGATTAGTACAGTTTTGTCTACCCTAATTAGCCATAATCAAACTGCTTTTATTAAAGGAAGAGTCACTGGTGAAAATATACTCTTAGCTCATGAGCTGGTACAGAAGTATAATAGGGCTGATATCTCACCAAGAAATATAGTAAAAGCATATATAATGAAGGTGTTTAACTCAGTTGATTGGGATTTTTTTATCACGGTAATGAGATCAATGAACTTTCCTAATTGTTTTGTGAAATGGATTGTCATGTGTGTGACCACTCCAAAGTTGAGTGTGTGGTTTAATGGTGGAATAGTAGGATAATTCTCTGCTAGGAAAGGATTAAGACAAGGAGATTCTCTGTCTCCTTACCTTTTTGCTTTATCTATGGAGATTCTCTCTTGTTTGATGGGGAAAGTAGTCAGAGATGGTCAAATGCCTATTCACCCTATGTGCAAGAGGCTGGGACTTTCTCATTTAATGTTGCAGATGACTTACTACTGTTCTCAGACGGGTCAAATTGCAGAATTCAGTGTATTCAGAGGATTTTGGGGGAATTTAGAAGAATATCTAGTCTGAAATCAAACCCTGAGAAATGTGATTTATTTTGTGGAGGGCTCCCAATGGAATGGCAAATTCAGATGGCACAGAGGGCAGGCTATAAACTGGGCTCGCTCCTAATCAGATATCTGAGGTTCCCTCTAATCCCTTGAAAGATTTCAATTAAAGCATGTAAGCCATTGATAGACAAGATAACTGGCAGAATCCATAGTTGGAAAACAAAATTTCTTAGCTATGCAGGACGTTTACAACTTGTGGTGTCTGTATTAGCTAGCTTGACACGATTTTGGGTGACAGTTTTTATACTGCCTAAAAGGGTAATCAAGGAAATAGAGAAGCTTTGTAGTGACTTCTTATGGGGAGTTGGGACTGATGGAAAGAAGAGGGCTACAACAGCTTGGCACTTTTTAACTCTACCTAAAAAAGAAGGTGGATAGGGAATAAGGGATGTTATGAGCTGGAACTTTTAATGTATGATTAGACATATTTGGCTAATCCTCTTGGAACAGGGATCCCTATGGGTGGCATGGCTGAGGGAATACAGACTCAAGAACCATGATTTTTGGACTTTTTCAGTCAAAAACTGGATCATGGATTTGGTTGAAACTGTTGAAAAGCAGGGATAAAATTTGCCAGCAGATGTCTATGGTGTATGGAGAGGTCCTTTGGCATGGTAATGTCATGAAGAAATATAGCATAAAGATGGTTTGGGAGGAGTTTAGTCCTAGTGAGTCTCCAGTCCCCTGGTATTCTCTAATATGGAAAAATCCCTCAATCCCCAGGGATCAATTCCTTATTTGGCTTGTGGTAAAGAACCATATCACAACCTGTGATAAGGTTGCTAGCTGGGGAGGAATGGGCCCCTTCTCATACTCGTTATGTTCTTGCCCTATGGAGACAATGACTCATTTGTTTGATGAGTGTGTTGTATTTAAATAACTATATGCAGGGTTGCTGGCTCGAGCTTTTTTCAAAATTTCATCTGACAAATGGGAAGAAGAACTGAATTGGGCTACAAACAATCTCAAAGGGAAGATGCTACAGAACTAGGTTGCCAAGATGATTTGGAGTGCTATAGTCAGTACAATGTGGCGAGAGCGATGCTTGCTGAGACATGGAGGATTCAAGAAGAGTCATCAGGAGCTGATTGCAAAAATCCAGAAGGATGTTACCACGTTGTTTTCAGCTGAGATTGTAGAGAGTTTTTGGGCTTGTTAACGTTTTTCTCTTGGTTCCAGTTTAGGTTTCCTTGTTGTTAATAGGAAGATACAGTTGCTAAGTATAGCAAACTTCAAAAGTAACTCAGTTGACGGGGTGTGTTGCCAAAGGTTTTGAGGCTCTTTTTCATGATATAAAAGCTAACTAATTCATAAAAAAAATTGTAGCTACGAAAATCTCATAAAATTTAGATACCAAAATATAATTGTTCAATAATTTTACATTAAAATTAAATTTGAAGTATCAAAATGTAAAAATGTTACATAGTTACTAAAATTAATTTTAACAAGCGCAAAGTTTGACACCTTGGACGCCAAGTGGCAAGTTGACTAAAATGTTGATTTTGTTCGGATTGTTTTAATGACCAATATGAGCATTGTTATCGAGTATATAGGATAGATTGGGTTTTTTCTCACAATATTTTTCAAACAATATTTACAAAGTGTATGGAACGTATTTTCTAAACTATTGTGTTACCATATTGTTAAGAGCGTTGGAGTGTAAGTTGAAGAGCATTTATATTTTTTTTTATTGTTAGAGCATCAATTAGGTTAATTTGAATTGAATTAGAATATACATGTTTTATAATAATGTATGGACCATCACTCTAGTATTGAACACGTGTCGAACATTTTAAATATGAAATTGTTGTAATATCTTTCTTGTAACACGAGATGGATAATATCCATGTCGACGATTAGGTACTTTTGGTTGTAATCCTAGTGGGTAGGTAACCCTAATTTAGATGTGAGAAAAGGGGAGGTTGTCTCAACACTAATACCCTTATGTCTCACAACCAGGTAGCATTATTTCAATTGTGGGTGCATGAAAGAATATACTACTAAGTAAAGAATGTGGGTGGCAATTGTCTTGTCTTCACCTATAAATACTAGAGTGAGTATTAAAGAGGAGAAAAGAATGTTTTATCAAATTATATTTATCTCTAACACATGTACACAAATAGTTATAGATCAGATCTTCTATGAAAGGAGGAGATAGACAGGAAGGTAAAGAAAAGAGGAGTCGTGGAAGAACTCAAGAACGAAATCAAGCCAATGCAACTCGTTTCGTTGGTTTATTAGGTGGGTCACATAAGGAACCAGGGAAGAATAAAGGCAATGCAACTCGTTTCATTACGTTTATTAGATGGTGGATCGATCTTATTCGTTTTTGATAAATTTCATGATGGTATCTCGGATGCATTTATTATTGAATTATTTGCTCTTCGAGATGCAATGAGATCGTGTCTAACGTGTGAATTTTTGGTTGTGGCATTTTGGATGACTCTCCCTGCTCTGTCCAAGGAAGTTTACACACTCGCTGGCAGGATTGTAATGAAGGAGATTCATCAAGTTTTAACATTTGTGTTCGTTTGTAACATATGTTTTTGCTACTCCGAGATTTAACAGAACTGCCAATTAGTAATAAAATAAACTCATTCGTCAACTATCCGATTACATACAGACTACCGCGTATGGTTATTTGCTAGTCTTATAACCTTGGGTTTTTTTTTTTTTTTTTTTTTTTTGGTGCTGTCTTGACATATCATGGGGGAACCAGAAAATGACGAATTTGAACATGACAGATGTTGTGGTCATTATAAATCCAATTGTATAGCAAGGGAGGAGATGTGAACGAGGTAAACTGAGATTTAGGGTTTCTCCTTTTAACACAAAGTTAAGTTTATTACCCTAGATCGCAGAAATAAACGGAAACGTTTATGCCACAAGTGACAGATGAGTATAAAATGCATGGTTTCCTAGAGAACTTAGCCATATTTCATAGATGATTTCGGCTGCAAAACTAGAATGCATCATAAAAAATGTTGCCTTGGACCTCGGGTCACAGATCCAATGACCAACAGAAGTTGACGAGTATAATGAACATTCGGACGGACAAAAAGCTTAGATCTTGTTATACAAAAACAAGGGAAGACCGAAGAGGTGCAGAGGTGAAGTCAAACCAATTCTTACACAAGTAACAGATTCCATGAGGTGAAAAAACATTGGAGAAACACTCTTTACAGGAAGCCTCAACCCTCAATGTCGACTACCTAGATGTATAAAGCATTAAGAACTTTATCTTACTCTCACATGTACTTCATAGCTCACCAGCAGGACCACTGTCAACTCTCAAGTTTGAACACCAGAGAGTGAACCCATGATACTTTCACCAACCTCGCTTTTGCAAAGAGGACACGATGCATTGATTTTAAGCCACTTGTCCACGCATTCCTTGTGAAAGAAGTGAGAGCATGGCAGCTCTCGCAGCTCATCGTTATTCGCATACTTCCCCAAACAAATGCAGCAAACCTGCAAGAGAAGCACACCAAGTTCATTAGAAAGATATACATACTTCATGTCATCAAAGTCCATTAGTGGAGACATGTTTTACCGCGTCTTCCCCTGAGATGATGCGCTCCTTCTCGGTTCCTGCAGCTACAACCCCACCATCAATGCCACCTGCGTTTCCATCTCTTTTGTTTGACTTGAATTTGTATGTTGGTAGTGCATTGATCGACTCAGGAGTTGCTCCTCTGGTTTGTGCCAGATCCTCTCTATACCCGAGGAGTGAGATAATACAAGGCAGACAACAGCAGATTGTGGCACAGAGAATGAAGGGCATGGCATATCCAATACAGCTGAAGGTAAGGAACACTATACATAACCTGCCAACAGAAAGATGAGTACAAAGGGATAAACAGTCCTACCCTACAAAGAGAAAGAAAAAAAAACTTGGGTAGTTGTATATGAACGAGAAGTACCTATACATGTTTGGAGCATCACTTCCCGACGAATGACCACCAAAGATCCACACGTTACCCACAACAAACCAAACTGCAAAGAAGCAATCCAAGCCCATTTTGAAGTACTCAACTAGGACCTTCACCCTGCAAATGCATTACTCATAAATTCGACACAGATGTTTTCAACAGGAAACATCATTTCAAAGAGCATATATACTTTCTTAGCATATGATCTCGTTAGAAATTCATAATAAAGGAAGTAGTAAAAGTTCACATGGAAACTTGGCAATCAAAATCTATTTTCTGAAGCAGCTACTGACACTCTAGAAATATAACAAATAGGATCATCCGATCTTAAGGGTTAAGACTTCAGGTTTTCTAGTATAAAAACTAATATGTATAGTGTTGAACAGCTGAGAAAACAATCTTGGATAATTTTAATTTTGGCAACATGTATAAAAAACGGAGGAAAGGAAAGGAATAATCAAACTGGACATCGAATCTATGTCGCATAGCCATTAATGGTATTGCCATTATAACCAGCTTGACCACTGACACACACATCTCTAGAAGTAGAACTAGTCGATAACCTACGATAACTGCTTCCAACGGCACAAGCATAAGCTTAGGTTTGGCAATGGATTATAGTAGGTAGATACCCTAAGCGCTTCATCTAAGCTAACTGTCTCAAACAAGAGATATTAATGCCACCTAATGTTATGCAAAAGTAACCATAATGGCTGCAAACATATCAAAATAGTTAAGCTCCAGGTAGAAACAGAAACCGGAACGGGTAGTTCTGCTTAACGAAATTACATAACAAAAACAACAGCTGAACAACAAGAAGGCTAAAACCATACCTCGGGTTTACTGCTGCTGTACTTGGACCACCTCTAGGTGAGCCAACCACAGGTCGTCGATCTTCTCCATCAGAAGTTCTGGTCACTGAAAGAGAAAATGGTCCAGCAGGAACATTGATGTGAGTCGAACCCTGACGAGTTTGAGCAGCATCTTGATCAGTCCCTTGGTTTCGAAGATGATATCGCCAGTAAAGAAGGGGGAGAGTCGCTAAGCATCCAGATGCATAACCGATAATCCACACGAACAATGGTGTGCGTGGGTGCTCATCCTTCGATATGGAGAGAACGACGATCGATGCAATGATCTGACTCAATGTGAGAACCAATTCAACTGATATCCATAGACCCGAATTCAGTGGACTCCTGCGTCTACCACGAGCATCCCCTCTCCTAGTACTCCGGGCACTTGATACATTTGACGACGATGTTGAAGGCTGAGAAACCGAGGGTGCTGAACTAGTTGAAGGTCTGGCATCTGTTGAAAAGGTTTCCAGAGAATGTCCACCATGGGATGTAGATTCGGAAGAAGAATCGGAATTTTCAGGCACATCGATGATGTGATCTGTACTCCTAAAAGTCGTTGATCGCTCCATTAACAGTGGGCAACTATCTGCGAGATTATCAGAACGTAGTCCCGGGGAGAGAACATCCATCTAACCCCACAGACCCCCTTAGATATGATGAAACCATAGATTGAATCTCCAAGCTAGGTTTCCACCAAACCGAAAGCTACTGAACACTCAATGCAAGAACTACCCAGGAACTCGGACAGTATGGGTGATTCACCCTAATCAATTCTGTTCGACAAAACACAAAGCAGCGCACTTACCATCAGAATTGCCATGAAATCAGTAAAAGCCCAGCACAGGGAAGTACTAAAAATGGTCAGATACGATAAAAACAGCTTTCATCGATTCATTCGATAACAAACAAAATTTGGCATATCAAAAGCTCTGGATTTGACGGAGATGACTATGAATGCAATCCCAAAATCTAATTGACAACAAGAAATGAGTCCCCAGTTCTTCAAATCTCTCCTTCCACGCGGTATCAATGCCAACTTGCAGGCCATTCAACCAAAGAGGGAATGCAATCCCAAATGGAATATACAAAAGAAAGAAAGATTTCCACCACATTTTCAAAATACTATAGAATATACAGCAAAAAATAATGGTTTCAGCTAACAACTCTGGGAAGATGACAAAAATGAGCTGGGAGATTTGCTCTACCGAAAAATAGAAAGGAAGCAGAAACCTTTAAGAAAAAAAAAACAGTGAAGCTTTGACTCCTTCGACTTGATTCATTCTTAGATCAAGCAAACAAATTGAAGTGAACCCACAAAATTTCAAAGGGTAAGCGATAATGGGCAAGTGATCAACCATTTCCCGAGAGCTCGAAACTCGAATCGAATTGGAAGAGAGAAGCAGAACGATCGTCACCTGTTTGAGCTGAGGACTTGGGTCGAGAGATAAGTAAAGGGAGGCAGAGCAGAACCAGCGCCGGCTTCTCGCCAAGAAATGAACGAAGAAGAAGCAAAATGAAGGAGGAGATGGGAGGAGGAAGGGGCGCGTTTCGTCGCTTTTCTTTAAAGTTGGTTGGGGAGGGATAAAGAGTCAGCTTTCGACTTCCATTGCTTCTCTGCTGATCTGGGAATATCTATCTCTAATACCTCTCTTGGTTTATATTTTTCCAAAATAACCATTTCTCCCTCTAATTTGTTTCCCGTTAGCGAAGTATCTAAATAGGAATTCTTTTTATATTTCAAAAAGCATTTATAATAATAATATGTCCGAACCGAAATAAATAATACTTATACTATTCTTTAAAGTATTGGTGTTTCGAGGTGCAATTTAAAGTTGTATAACGTTAAATATACAAGTTTAGGTTGTACTATAAGCGAATTTGTATAGTTATGGTTGTATCATAATATAAAAAGTACAAATTCAGTTTGTACCATAAAAAAATTTATACAAAATACTATATAATATAGATATAACTTGGAGTTATACCATACCATTAGAGATACAACTTTAAATTATACCATAAAGACAAAAAACTAAAGCACCAATACTTTAAAACACGGTAAAATTCCTCCTAGTTAAACATTATCTTAATATCTATACCATCATTACATTGCATGCAAATTAGATAAAGCCATTCCATTTGAGTGAAAGCTGGAACCATTCTTGTGAAAACAAAAACTATATGGCAATTTAGTTTTAACATTGATGAATCTCAAATGGTTCATTTGAGGTTTTTTTTCATAATATGGTAAACCTTCCATTATTCAACTCATATAAAGTACAAAGAGAGAGGCATCGTAAATGAATTGTCAATAGCTAACATAATCATATAACTCGAGTTTTTAGAAAATATTCAAAAACAAATTTTATATCATTATTTAATATATATCTAAAATAAATTAAACACATATGCTTGAAATGTGTACAAAACTACTATACATTATACTTAAATCAAATATTATTGTTGGAAATCATGACACAAGACTCTCAATTAAAAATATTGATATGATGTCAATATATGATATAATTTTTTCTTAAATCAAAACACTAATATAATAAAGCATGACAAAATTCATTTGACGAACTCGTTTGACCCAGACAATATAAGCAATATTATCGTGAATTTTGTGTCCAAATCCAACAATCAACCGGGAACATCAATTTGTCAAAAAAAAAACCGGGAACATCAATAATGAAAAAACATAAAGAAATCGCCACCATACTGTAATCCCATTTTCCGAGGAAATACCGTAATTTTCTCAGGGTTCGAGAAAATCGCCACCATACTGTAATTTTCTTGAAGAGAGCTCGAGTTTTCCTTTCAATGACTGTTCAAAAACATAAAGAAATTCAAAAGGATTTTCCGAATTTCACTTTCTAAGAGATCCACCATTAACATCAAATCAAAACCAAACCATTATCGCGCGACATTCTTCCTTCTCTTGCTTCCTTGCTTCATCAATCTCCTCCCAACTAAACCTTCTTGGATTCTCTCTCTCCGTCTGCGCTCTCTCTCTCTCTCTCTCTAAAGATTGGATCTTTCGGCGTCAGATTCACTTCCTCTTCTTTCTTTCTTTCTTTCTTTCCCTTTTCCCCCCTCCACCAAAAATCATTACCCAGAATCTCTCCTCAGTTATCTCGCATTCCCTTTGTCGGAAATCAGGCATCTATTCTGGGTTAGTTTCTGGACATTACAGTGGTCCGATTTCTTTTGCAGATTTGATCTGGGTTAGTCTCCGGCGAAAATGCCGTTCCAGATTCTGACTTCTAACCTCCCCACAGCCTTCCAAGGAGCAGTGGATCTGCTCACATTCTCGAGAATCTAGGGTTTCGAAAGAGAGAGGGGGTCGCTGGTTTTGGGAACACACACCCTTAAATCCGCAATGTTCAAGCAAATCTTGAGTAAGCTCCCGAGGAAATCCTCCAAATCGGAGCCACCCGAGTTTAGCTCCATCGAATCGCCGTCTCCGGTTCGATCCAACAGCGCCGGCTCGGCGAAATCGAATGGGCCGAAGCGGACTTCATCAGCAGTGTTCCCGTCCAGTGTCGTCGCCGGGATTGAGCCGCTGGTGCCATTCAGAGACGTACACAATGCGGAGAAGATGAACCTCTTCGTAAGCAAAGTAAGCCTCTGCTGTGTAACTTTTGATTTCTCTGACCCAACTAAGGATACCCTAGAGAAGGATGTAAAGAGGCAGACTTTGCTCGAGCTTGTAGATTTTGTGGCTTCTGGGTCGATGAGGTTCACCGAGCCAGCCATTCTAGCTATGTGTAGAATGTGTGCTGTTAACTTGTTCAGGGTTTTCCCTCCGAGTTACAGGTCTCACTCTGGCAATGGTGGTGGTGAAAATGATGATAGTGATGAGCCAATGTTTGATCCCGCTTGGCCACACTTGCACATTGTCTATGATTTGCTGCTTAGGTTCATAACTTCCACTTGCCTGGATGCTAAAATAGCCAAGAAGTACATAGACCACTCGTTCATACTGAGGTTACTTGATTTGTTCGAGTCCGAGGATCCCAGGGAAAGGGAGTGTCTAAAGACCATATTACACAGGGTGTATGGGAAGTTCATGGTGCATAGGCCTTTCGTTCGCAAGTCGATCAGCAATATATTCTATAGGTTTGTGTTAGAGACCGAGAAGCATAATGGGATTGCTGAGCTGCTGGAGATTTTCGGGAGTGTAATAAGTGGTTTTGCTTTGCCCCTTAAAGAGGAGCACAAGCTGTTCCTGTGGAGGGTTTTGATTCCTTTGCATAAGCCAAAGTCTCTTGGGGTTTACTTTCAGCAGCTCTCTTATTGCATAACGCAGTTTATTGAGAAGGATCCCAAGTTGGCTAGCATGGTGATGAACAGAGTGTTGAAGTACTGGCCTGTAACGAACAGCCAGAAGGAGGTGATGTTCTTGGGAGAGGTGGAAGAGATTTTGGAAGCTATTAACATGGTTGAATTCCAGAAAGTTATGGTTCCCCTGTTCTGGAGGATTGGTTGCTGCATGAACAGCTTTCACTTCCAGGTATGTTCATGTTTATTTTCTTTGTTGCATGTGTCCTTTTTTGTTTGCTCAATCAATGTGCTTTATTCCTATGTTTCCATCCTTCCATGCATTGATCTATACCGAGTTTATCATTGTCAATATTGCTAGTTGTCAATGTCTGCTTATGGTTGAAGTTATTGCCTGCGCTTGACGATCATAACTCTATGTAATTGTTTGAGCAACACCAAAGCTTTGGTAGATGGATTCTGAAAATTAGGAGATTGTTAAGAACATATTGATTTCAAAATATAACCTGTCTTTTACATTGTCAGACCCATATATGCATCCATTTGAAGTTCTGTTTATGCCTTTATCCTGAAGGTCTAAATGTGAGATTCGATAAAATCCACTTGCTCCATCAGCAAGTGGATTTACCATATTCCATCAGCCAACCGAACCCTTAGTTGCATGTTATGAATTGTGTCCAGTCGGCTTAACTTTCCAGCACTATAATCATCCAACCACTTGATGCCTCACACTGATCCTGCTGCTTTGGGCAATATATTTCCCCTTCTATATACCTAAAACCTGTCCTGATCTTGCTGGAGAAACCAAATTACTAGCTTTTGCATTGTGGTCTGTGAAATTGCCTCAGGTGGCTGAACGCGCCCTTTTCTTGTGGAACAACGACCAAATCGTGAACTTGATAGCACACAACCGGCACGTGATCCTGCCTATCATATTTCCAGCATTGGAGAAGAATGCACAGAACCATTGGAACCAAGGAGTGCTTAACTTAACTCTCAACATCAGGAAAATGTTCTCGGAGATGGACGAACAGCTCTTCCTGTCGTGCCTTGCCCAGTTCAAGGACGAAGAAGAACAGCTGAGTGTTTTAGCTGAGAAGAGGAAGGAAGCGTGGCAACGCCTGGAGAATGCAGCGAGCCTGAAGCCTATAACTGGAAACACTGCTGTTCTAGTAACCCCTCTGGCAACCAAGATCACATGTTGACAGTAGTAGGCATCAGTGGGTGGCATCCTAATTGCTGTTGTAGGATATATTCTTTCTTTTGTTTTGCTGGTGGTTTCTTTTTTTTCTTGTTGGTGCTATGACAGCCCGTTGTTGTATAACTAAGTAGCTCCTGATCTTCTGTATCTTAAGCTTGTTCTCCACCATTTGTAGCAATGCCCTGCTGTATGGGATTCTGTTTAGCGTTCCCTTTTGTAACCTTATGAGAAGGGTAAAGAAATGGGCCATGCAGTAAACCATTGGCTTATTTTTCTTCCTCGTGTTGTCAATAGTGAGTCCCACTGACCTTTTGAACAATCTTCTTCCCATTCACAATGAAGGGAAAGAGTGCTCCAAGTGTGGATTTCTGTGCTGATTCAAACCTAATTGGAACCCTATTTTAGAAAGGGTCATCAATATTGACAATGGCAAATCTTCTTACATTCATTCCAATCGATGTTTACCTTTGAGTCAACGATCACATCATGGATTGTGTTAGTGGTAGTGTCTAAATACAATCAAGATTGATTGTATTTGCACAAGTGCAAGGTATCCGTGCAATAATGCTATTACATTCCAACAATAAGGCTGATGTTATGTTTGTGTGAAGAACGTGCTAATCAATAACTGGAGAAAGTCCTGGGCATCACTAGTCAAATGTGAGTACATAAGGAAAACGGCTATTAATGAATAAAAAGTGCTAGTTTGTTATAGATTGTGAAGCGTTGCTCCGCAAACCGCAATAGGGAAGGCTATTCATGCATTTCCCTTGATCCCAGTAACAGTTTGCAACTGATTACAACGAACATCAGAGTTTGGCTCAACAAATTCACGAGGTTTCAAGATACAAAGTACTAAAGGCCTGAGAAATTAGCTCAGGTACTCTCCTCTTTTACAGTATCCCCACCTTCTCCTGCACCTCAAAAGACCTGAAACTTTATTCCTCCCTGTGCCCCCCCTCAATATAGAAGTTCCCTCAAAAAATTGTGGTAGATTTCATGAGACCATCTTTCCTTGGTCTGGAAGTACCACAACTAACTTAGATTAGATGTTACCCTTTTAACAACCAAGACAGTAACTTGAGTGAAATTAAGTTAAAATGAAAGAACATCACCAACTTTAGTTGGAATGTGACAAGTTACTGCAGCTGAAAATCAGGATCATCTTCAGAGAAGTCAAGGATGTAGAAAC